AAATGAGAACTGGCTCATGTAAGGGTCAACACACATCTAAATAAATAAAACTGAATTAAAAAATTTTCCTGGTGCCAAACATAAAAGAGAACTTTTCCCTTCTTATTTTTTCTTCTTTTTTAAGCATTCCTTTGGAGAACTTGGAATGATAAACTTGCTTTCTGTGACCGTTTGAGCTGCATGTAAAACTTTTTGAAATCTAAATAATCCTCTTAGCAGTTTTGCTTCCCAGGAATGCCTTTCTTGAGGGCATTGAAATGTGAACACCAGGGAGGGTGCTGCCCTGTCTCCCTGCCTCCGAGAAAGTTCGCCTTAGGTGCCAGCTCCAAGCTGGAACTAACTGCTCACTGTAAAATCAAAGGTTTATTTTTCTTATGGTTAGACACAGTTAACCTGTATGTAATGACTTGTATGTATCTAGAAATATAAGTGGTGAGATTTCTTTCTGTTTTTTACGCTTGTTAGTGGATTGTCTAAGACCCACATTGCAGTCTGGTTTAAATGCTTGGTTATTAATAAGACTTCATTCATTTTTGCATTTTGTGGAGATGATCGTTTTGGGTTGGCAGGATATTTTACTTTTAATTATTTCCCCAACACCAGTAATGGGGGCAAGGATTGAACAGTCTTTGTTACTATATGTAGGTAAAATGGTTCATATGACAACCGTTGAAGGACGGCAGAGTCAAAGTGGATGGTGGTTTGATTTGTATCTGAGAGTTCACGATATAGAGTAATAGGCATTCATTATATCTCTTAAAATGGAATTAAAACTTTTTGATGGTATAAAAGCAGGAATTGTTTTTTAGGTAGAAGAGACACAGTTCTGAGAGTCTAAATCTCTTGAGACGTCTCCCTTCTGTGGGAGCCAAGGTCCTACAGAAGGTTTGCTGAAAAAATACTGACATAAGTCAGATTGATTAATAGGAGACAAAGCATACAAATCTATTTAATGTGTATACATGGGAACCTTCAGAATGAAAACCCAAAGATACAGGGAGAATTGTCAGTTTTTATGCTTAGGTTCAAGAAAGCATGGACAGCCATGTAGAAGATAGTTGGACAAAGAGGTGTGATCTAATGTTAATAGACACGATGGGGAAACTCAGCAAGGCCTGTCTGTCCAGATTCTTCTTGGTCTTTGTGAGCACGCATCTCTTCTTTCTGGGTACAGGGCAGGACCCTCTCTAGAATGGGGGTTTTATGACCTGCAGTCAAATAAGGTAGGTCAGATAATTTTCTTATGGTTAGTTTTTACACAGAAAGGCAGAAGAAAACTTGAGCAATATTTGTAGGTTTTATGACTAGCTTTGAAAAAAATGAGTTCCATTTTCTCTGATCTGCCTTAGGGATGGGGGATTCTAGTTTCTATAGCTGCCTTGAAGGACAATGGGACTGAGAGACAGAAGGCCAGAAGACAGAGATAAACTTTTGCGTCGGAGGTTTTCATTTGAGGATTTTGTTTTCTGAGCCCCGACATCTCCAACTGGCAATAACAGTGGTCTGTCTGGTTCTTATAGTCACAGATGATGCCCTGTGCAAAGCAAGTCTGAGCAGCCTACCCTTGCCATCACAAGAACCCTGCCTTGAAGGGCCTGGGCACAATCAGATGCCCTGGCTCACTGATTTTGCAAAAGGGGATTATAGCCTAGGGCAGTAGGATGACCTATGCAGCTGGTATCTCTCCTCCAGAAGATACCCACAAGTGTTTGTTCTCTCAAACAGTTACTAAATATCCTGTGGTACCAGGCTGAGTACTAGGTACTAGTCGTATATGCTAAATAAAGCTCAGGTCTTAGTCTCAAAGTGCTCGTAGTTTCTTGAGAAAGAAAAACCTATTAATGATTATGGCAGAGGGTGGTAAGTGCTATTATGTGTTCTGCACAAAAAATGGTAAAAATTCTGAGGACGACTGACAGCCTGGGGAAGGATCAAGGAAGCCTTCTAAAAGGGAGGACAGCAGAGCCCTGTCTTGAAGCTGGAAATCCAATCTCTCTAGCATTGGCTCTCACATTTCTTCTCTGTTTCCTGACTAATTCCTAAGATCTAAACTTTCCAAGTCTTAGCTTATGTAACCTCCACCAGGACGCCTTCAATGGCCCTGCAAAGCTAGGATAGGTGATGCTTTTGTGTGCCTCATGAAGCCCTGCCAGTCAGCCTCACAATACCTTGTGAGCTCTTTTAGGTCAGGGACATTTTTCTACTTACCCCTATTTCTTTGGCACCTAGCATGGTGCCTGGCACACAGGTAGTAAGTACTTAATAGATATCTGTGAAATGACTGAAGGTTGGTGAAAAGTAGTTACTGAGGTGTGTGAAAGAGGAGGCTTGAGAGGAAAGTGGCATTACTGACATTATCAATAGAAGGAACAGCATAAACATATAACAGCAAAAAGCAGTTAAGTATTCTGTGTAATGAATGACAAATACTTCCAAGTTGCCGGAGCATACATTGCAAGTGAGAAAGTGGCAGGAGATAAGATTGGGAAATTAAGCAGAGAGTGTGCTTCAGTCTAATGGTAAATGAAGTCCCAAGCCCTCCTCCATTGATCTCTGTTTCCCTTCGGGAGTTTCTGGAGGATTGCCCATTAAAATTGACATCTGCTTAATGTGTACATGGTACAGATGAGCCTCCCATGTGACGCACAGAGATGCAATATTTCCAGAAGTGGAATTAGAAAATAAATATGTTGGTCTTAAGTGTAGCCCATTGTGAACCTCTGGAGGGCCTTCCCCAGAAAGAGAGTATTCATTTCAGAGGGGAACTTCATGCAAATTGGATTTGGGAATTTGGAACAACATGCAACCACAAATATATAATTAGCACCTAATTATGTTGCAGAATGGCTGACAAGACCCTGCTTGGCTAGGAGTTTCCAGCACAAGTGTGTTTATGGACAAGGCCCATGATTGAAGATACACAGACACTGAATCATTTACAGTATAGTGTCTATGTACCCTGATCTCACCCAGTTTTGAGACTTAGTAGAGTATAATCTTTAGTGGGACAAGAGCTAACCTCAGTGATGATATCGGGAGAAACCATGGAAATCAGGCAAGTTGGTGCATTACGGTAGATCTGGATGAGGTTGTCAGAGGATCTGAATTCAGTTTCTTGCTCTGTCTGAAATGACTTCTGTGTTCACTAACAAGTCATGTACCTCTCTGACCCCCAGACGCTTTATCGCAAATCAAGTTGTCGCTGAGTTCTTTTGAGAATAAAATGAGATCGTGGATGTGGAAGTCTAAAATAATCAACAATTGTGGCATTTTCAAACTAATAAAAATCAGTGCTGAAACTGATGAAGCAATCACTTATGAGTACAGCCCAATGCCAGGGGAAGTAGGGAATACAGAGAAATAAAGCCTCTTGTTCCCACCTTTTCTTTTGTTTTACTTTGACAGTAAAGACAAACCAATATGTACATATAATAGAGAACAATTAAGCACTCACATTTAATGAAATCTGAGTTCAAATAAGAGAGTAATTATTGAGAGATGGAGTTGCTGAGGAAGGCTGCAAGCTGAATGAGTTTACCTTTTCTTTTTTCCTCCCTTTTCTTATCTTTCTCTCTTCTCACTTTCAGAAAAAATCATCACAAGTCTCCACACTTACTCATCATAAAAACTCTCAGCAAGTCAGGACTAGAAGAGAACTACCTTAATTTGACAAAATGTACTCATTGAAAAACCTACAACCAATGTAATATTTAATGGTTAAATTCAAGGCTGTCTGATCTCCCACAGTAATTCAACACTTTACTGGAGGCGCTGACAATCCAATGAGGCATGAAAAATTAATAAATGTCATTAAGTTTAGAAAAAAATGTGCAGCTGTCTCTTACTGCAGGAAACATTATTGTCTGTAGAAAATGCTAAGGAAACTACAAAGATTAATAGAACTAATAGGTGAGTGTATCAAGGCTGCAAGATACAAAGTCAATATACAAAATTATTATAGTTTTGTATATTAGCAGAACATTTCAAAAATAAAAATATTTACAGTATCATTAAAAGATAAGCATAGAACACTTAGGTATAAATTCAAGAAAATATACTCAACACCTGTATGCTTAAAACTACTAAAGATTGCTAAAAGAAAAAGACCTAAATAAATGCAAGATATACCATGTTCATGAGTTGAAAGACTCAATAGAAAATTATCTTCAGATTATATAAAATTTTAGAATAAGACAAAGTAATCTAGAATGGAAAAAGTTTAAGATACTCTAGAGAAACAGAATTGCTGATTGATCAAGGAAAGGGTAGATGTATGCATTTACCAAAACTCATGAAGTTTTATATCTAAGAATTTTATGTTTCATTGAATGTAAATTTTATCTAAGTAAAGAATATAAATCGTATTGATCATCTATTTCTCCATCTATCTATACATACATACATTTGTGTGGTTGTATTTTAAATATACATATATTTTTTAGATACGACCATTGAGAGGGCCTAAAAGCCAGGACACACTAGTAGCAATGAGCACATTTTGAGCCCAGATTTTGATTTCTAAATATCATTCTCTGGTATAAAGAACTAAATCTCTTTGGAGAAACGAATGACTCCAGAGCTGAGGCAGAGGATCTATGAGCTGATCTTGGACATTTTATTGTTCTAGAAAGCAAGGACGATACATACACACACATTTATAATAAAGCAAATGATCAAAATGTACATAAATGGTAAACTTGGGTAAAAGTTACAAAATATTTCCTTGTACTTTTCTGGCAATTATATTACAATAAAAATTACCAAAAATGTTGAAGGATAAATAAAACAAAAGTCATAATAATGGTTACATCTTTAGGGACGACAAGACAGAGCATATAGGAGCATATAAAGACTTCTGAGGTGCTTGGAAATTTTTATTACTTAATCTTGGTATTATATACATGGTTATTTATCTTAATACTGACACAATCAATTTATACCTATTTCCATACATATAATTACCCTTATAAAATAAAAAGAGACACCAGTAGGACAACAAATTAGCATCCAAGATGACATTATTTACTTGTGATGAAGTCAGAGCCAAAGCCCAAATCCATCAAGTCTGTTTCTCTGCCAGGTGATAATATGGGTGGTGATAACAAAGTTAATATGTGGTTAGCTGGAGAACTCCAAACCCTGAATCATTCGTCTTTCTCTACATGGTCCTAAAGGGTATCACATGCACAGACAAATGCCCTGTTGACTCAGAAGGCAAGACTTTAATGCTGACCAGGTTCTTGAGCTCTAAACGAGTAAGCTAGGCTAGGTGGAGACCTTTCCTAGACCAGAGATGGCCAGGTCTGACAATCACAGCAAGCTAAATGGTCTTCTCCAGCCCAGTCTCCCTAGCTCTATCAAAGTTTTGAATTGTGTGTTATCCTAGTGATGACAAGTTTTCACCAGAATTCCCCAGCTAACAAGAGGAACAAAAAGTCTCTGTCAGTCTAGGCTTATTTATATTCTGCTAAAGTTTTTTTCATTTCTTAGCAAAGGCTGCCCAATTAGGTTTCTGGCCTTCAACCAAATAAAAATGATACTTAAAACCCTTGAGAATGGAGTAGAAAGTGAGTTGTGAGCCTGTTCTGGCCAATAGACAGTATTGTCTGTTTTTATTTGTAAGCTATCCTAAGCAGCCTACAATGAGACCACAGAGGTGGGTGTGCAACTAGAGATTCACCAGTAGTGTGAATATGAAAGTTTAATCAATTAGAGTCTGTGATATCTCGTGAATAAGTCCAATCATAGCATTTCTTTGTCTACTTTCTTTTTATGTGGCTATAAAAAGATGTCAACAGTGCATTTAAAGTTTCCTGCAGAGAGGAAATATGCAGATCACAATGAAGGTAGGAATATGCTCACAACCATATGTTTGTTCTCACAAAAATATGTGCCAATATAAGAAATGTTCCGTTTTGAAGTTTTTGGCACCATGTGGTGGTAGTGGGTTGAAACTTCCATGGTGGGTTCTTTTTTTCTTTTTTTTCCTCTTTTCATAGAATAGCTTTATGTTTTTCAATCTAAAGGTTTCTTTACTACCACCTCCTCCCTTACCTCCTCCCTGCTCCCCAACCTTGTTCCTTTGTATTAAGCACATTACAAACAATGTCATATTTCATATACTTAGAGACAAAGAACATGGTTGCTTAGCAACAAGGTCCCAGTTAAAATTTTAAGAATTCTTTTACTTTTACTTTCCATTTAGGGCAATGCTCAGGAAGCTGTTTTCAAGGAGATCCAGGGCTAGGAGAAAAAGTCTTCAAAAAATGTCTACCTAAAGCAAAGTGAGTAGTAGGAGGAGGACATTAATTAAGGGCTTGTTGTCACAATGCAAGTGGTATCGTCAGTGGCAATCAGAATGGAGAGAAAGGATTGGAGAGACTTGGCCTAGGGTGGGACAGAGAGCTTCACCTTTCCATTTTCCATCTGGTTCCTCCCACTTCTCCAAGATTTAACATGGGATTCAAATCAATGAGCTGAGAATGAAAAGCACAAAGGGAAGCAGACCCACACTGTATCAGTCACTCGAAGTGATCTTGTTTTGAGGGTTTTAGTTATAGACTGGGAGTGGCAGAAGCTGAAAGCTTATTTTGTCTGTTATGAGGCCTCCCTAAAATATCTATCTCACCTTTATAGGATGACTATGTTTCAGCTGACTTTTTAAATCAAGGCCATTTTCCCACATTATTAAATATTACATGAAAATCTGGCTTTTCAGAACCTTATGCTGTGGGTATTGCAGGACTGTCTTACCTATTGCTAATTATACATTTAGTTTATTCTGAGAAATTTGCTTCTATTAATGTTACTTCTATGAACTTAGTCTTATAAAACTCTCAGGAATTTTCCATAGAAGAGGTGGCTGATAGCAGAATTGATAGATCTGAAAAAGTCTTTTGCTCCCAGCTTTTAAAATATTCTTGATATCTGTAGGCTAATTGCTTCCAGAAAACTTGTACTAATATGCGAGTGAATATTTCCTGATTTGGTGGGAGATAACATGATGATTTATTTAGCTATTATTTGATTACTAGTAAGATTGTGTATATATATACATATATTTGTTTAGATGCCATTTATTTTTTAAATGAAGTTTCTGATCATGTTATTGCCCATTCAGTTTCCATTTGAGTATTGTCTTTTTATTGTTTTATAAAGCTTATTACACAAACACACATACACACTTAATCCAGACTCAGGAAGTATCTTTTATACAATGACAAATGAAGGAAGGAGGGGGGCATAACAGGAGGAACTAATATAAAGGATTTATATTTATGGTCATATTTGTTGAAAATATTTTTCTCAATTTATTATTTGTCTTTTACTTTATGGCTTTTATTCTGTTTTATTTTTGATCTGTGGATGTTTTGTGTGTTTTGATAGCAGACTAAGGAGCATAGTAGTGAAGAACAGAGACTGGCATCTCTGATGCATTTGCATCTTGGCTCTAACATCTCTGTGATGTGTGGTTTTCACCAAATTACTTTAACCTTTTTCTGTCTTAATGTTCTTCTCTAGAAAATGGGCGTTTTAATAGCTTATGGGGATGATGAGATTACATCAAATTAAGACATTCAGAAAGCATATAGAATTATGCCTGGCACACTGCCAGTGATGCCTGACACAGCACACCAAGCACTCAATAAGTTAAAGTAGCCAGCATCATGTAGCAAATATACCAACCTATTCCATTGTGATTTCTCCTATAGCTTTTATGTTCAGAAAGTCCAAATCTGTAGGAAAACTATAAAATGTGTATTAATCTCTTGTTTTATTTTCTTCATAAACTACTTACTTATTTAGCTTAATTCTGTAACGCACCAGCATTATTGTTGGTCTATGGTAAGGAGTGAGTTAATTTTTCACCCAAATGTGAATTTTTTTTGGTCAATTAAACTTTCGCTTCTCATTTATTTGTATAATTCCTTTATCATTTACAAGTTTTTACATACACTTAGATCTGTTTCTGAATTATCTTTTCTGTTGTTTTGCCTTTTGCTTTCTAGTCTAGTGCCATATTGGAAAAAAATTAGTACAAGTCCATGTGAATTCTGATCTCAAGACTGTTAAGATTCTCTTAGCTATTTTTAACTGTGAAATAGTTCAGGTAGTTATCTGAACCATTTTAATATACTAAAAATGTGACTGAGATTTTGAATAGGATTATTCTTATCTATTAATTGATTTAGAGAGAGTGACAGTTTTAAAATACCTTTAAAAGTATTTAAATTTTTCTTGCAAAATCCTCGCATCTCTCAATGGATTTTTTTAGTGTTTTCATAAAGCTTCCCACACATTTCTTGATATTATTAGAAGTTAATATTTTTTGCCAATTGTAAAAATAATTTTCTCTTTTTGTACATCTAACTAGATATAGGGGGAAGCAAGTAACAGTCAAAGTTCCCAACTCGATCTGAGTTTTCTTCACTTCCAGTGCCTTTGTGTGTTATTTTTGTAAGATGTTTGGATTCTGAATCAGGGAATACTTGCCAAATATTATTGAACCTTGAAATGGGGATACTGTTTCTGAAAAGTTGTTTCTACTAATTAAACACATTTTTATTCTGTCTCAACTAAATGCTGGCTTGCTTGGTGATGATAGAAATGATTCCTGCTCCACAGCACTTACATTACAGAACTGATTTAATGACAGCTATGGTAAATATTAGGAAGAATGGCTGGTGCACAAGTTGAGGGTCTAACTTGGGATTCACCCTCATGCAAGGTTAGAACAGGTCATCTCTAGGAAGATTTGACATTTGAACTGAGCTCTGAGGGATCCATAGGAATTAACTAGGATGTTCCTTACAGAGCAGTTGCCAGAACACAGGCAGCTGAAGGAATCAAGATAGGGCCTTTGCCGATTAATGCGGAAATGGGGAGAGAGGAGGGATATGGCATTGGGCGAGACAAGTCATTGCTGGGAGGGTCACAGTAGGGTTTTTATCCTTAAAAGAAAAACAAAAGTCACCTTGAAAAAAGTTAAAAATAGATAAACTATCAAAGTATCTAGTACAATGTACATATACATGTTTTTTTCTTGGAAACTGGGATAGTTCCCATGGTTATTTTGCCATGGCTCTTGAATAAATGGTTCTATGAAAGTTAGCTCTCTTTAGCCTAGAGGGAGGACAGTCTAGCTTCTCCTCCATATTTCTTGACAGAGGAGTTTGTTGCTCTAATCAAAGCCCAACCAGGCCAGTATCTGCCACAAGACGGAAAAGTATTGAAGGAGTCCTGTTTGCTGTTCTCTTGTCAGTACTGTCAGGAGCAAACCACAGCGCCTTTTGTTAAAGTGGCTGTGAAACACAGTTCTTCCTGGAAGTTCAAGGGTGATGAATCCCAAAAGGGCTTATAGAATGTCAAACTGCCAGCACAGCCCGAGGGATGGCACATTCTCTAATTGAGGCAAGAGAATTAGGGTAAGGTTTCCCAATTTTGGCTTTTTGAGCAAAGTAATTCTTTTCCTTTCTTTTTTTTTTCCTTTTTTTAATTGCATTTTAGGTTTTGGGGTACATGTGAAGAACTTGCAAGATTGTTGCATAGGTACAGACATGGCAGTGTGATTTGCTGCCTTCCTCCCCTTCACCTATATCTGGCGTTTCTCCCTATGCCCTCTCTCCCCAACTCCCCACACCCCACTGTCCCTCCCGTTTCCCCCCAACAGACCCCAGTGTGTGATGCTCCCCTCCCTGTGTCCATGTGTTCTCATTGTTCAACACCCACCTATGAGTGAGAACATGCGGTGTTTGATGTTCTGTTCTTGTGTCAGAGAGCCAAGTAACTCTTTATTGTGGCAGGCTGTCCTGTGCTTTGAACGATGTTTTTCAACAACAGCAGCAGCTCTGGTCTCTACCCACTAGATGGCAGTAGCACCCTCGCCCGGTTGTGGCAACCAGCTGTTGTACCCCCAGGAAACAAAATCACCATGGGTTGAAAAACGCTGAGTTACAGATATAAAAGTTCTTTCTTTCACAATTAAAACTATTATACTTTTTTTTTTTTTTTTGCTGTAAATTCACTTACATACTGCCACATTTAGCAAATCAGATTCCTAATTATCAAGGCTAACTCTCCTATAGTGTACAAAGCACTGCCATTTGTGTCTGCTATCCATTTATTTATGGAAACATTTATTAAACACCTGCTTTATGTAGGCACTATACTAATTGCTAGTGTTATACTCAAGGGAGACAACATTGCAAGAGGCCTAAACTACAGGGGGAGATAAAAACATGAGTATATCATAGGAGCCTGGTAGAAGTCTACTGAGAGGTGAAAAGAAGAAGAATGGGGTTAGAAGAAGTTAGAATCTTAGGGGGGGAGCTCCAAGGAAATATGAGGTCGAAGTGAAGCTCAGTGTGGAAACCTGAAACACGACCAAGTATTTTTCAGCTGATAGATTTGGGGAGTAGTTGGGAAGCTTAAGACTAACAACCATATATATATATGTATATTATATTATCTCTTCTAGATTTAGTGGGTTAGTCATTAAGTCCCATCACATCTCTCTTTTGGGAGGCATTTCAAAACTATCCCTTAATTTCTCTGTCTGTTCTCGTTGCATTTGCTCAAACTCCTGTCACCTCGCCTCTGGCATTAGTGTCTCAACTAGCCTGTTTTCTCCATGTCTTTCCATTGTATCTTGAGCAGTATATTCAAGCTAAAATTTAGAAACGTATTAATATAATATATAATACTATATATTATATAATATTACATATATAATAGTTTTCAGGGCGGGGGATGGAGTCTTGCTCAGGCACTGAGGCTGGAATGCTGTGGCGCGATCTCAGCCCACTGCAACCTCTGCCTCCTGGGTTCAAGCAATTCTCCTACCTCAGCCTCCAGAGTAGCTGGGATTACAGGTGCCTGTCACCACACCTGGCTAGTTTTGTATTTTTAGTGGAAATGGGCTTTCACCACATTGAGCAGGCTTCTCTCAAACTCCTGGGTTCCAGTGATCCATCTGCCTCGGCCTCCCAAAGTGCTAGTACAGGCATGAGCCACTGTGCCTGGCCACAGCCATATTTTAAGACATGTATTATAATCATCTGTATCAAGGATAATCATCTGTATCAAGGATAAGAAACCTCAAAGGTTAAACATTGAGCTTAGGGTCACTTAGCCAACACCAAAGTTAACCTGTCAATTTAACTCTTCCCTGGGTTAACATCGTTTGCCTTTTCTAGTCAAACTTAGTAGCATAAGAAAAATTCAGGAAATACTCTTAACAAATAATTTTTAAAAACAACCTCCAATGATAAAAAAAATATAATGCTTTCT